AGTGTAGATATGGCCTGTATAGTGTACAGTCTTGATGTGTCTGTGCAGTGCAGTGTAGATATGGTCTATATGGTATATCTCCACCACAGTGCACAGACACCTCAAGCCTGTATACCACGCAGACCATGATATACCGTGGTATACGGTCTTGAGGTGTGTGTGCGATGTGGTGGAGGTGCAGTCTTGAGGTGTGTGTGCGGTGTGGTGGAGGTGCAGTCTTGAGGTGTGTGTGCGGTGTGGTGGAGGTGCAGTCTTGAGGCGTGTGTGCGGTATGTCAGCGCTGCTGACCGGTCCTGTGAGTGCTGTGAGTCCGGGGTGTGGGCAGGGCCGCTGACCGCCGCGGTGATGGCTCTCTGGGCTGTGACTGTCCAGGTCAGGTGTCCGTGTGGTGTCTGAGCCCATCACTCACACGCCAGGCTTCACCTGGAGCCCGTGGTGGACAGAACTGAGATCCCTCACCACCAGGCAGGTAAAAGTCTGAAGTTTTGGCTTGTTTTTTGAGACCATGCCACGCATTTGGAACACAGGAGTTGTTTTGTGCATTTATATACCAGAAGTGAAATGTCAAATTTGTTGGTAATTTAAATGAAGTGTGTTCTGCCGGTGTCGGGGTGAGTGTGTGGAGAAAGGTGGAGAGAATGTGAGAAGAACTCCGCTTGCCGGTGTTCTGGGAGCAGGGATACCGGGACACACAGTTTAGAGACGCCAGCACAACCTCTGACTTGTTCTGTTTCTCTTAAGGTCCGTTGTGAGAAAAAGAAATCATCCGTGTTTGAGCACCGATGGCGTTAGACAGCAGCCTGGTCAGAACGGGTGTTAAGCGGAGCGGTCTCAGTGAATTTTGGGAATGGTGATTAGCTCTTGTCCAAATGCACTACTACTTCTGTTGCGGCTTTTTTACTTGCGTTCAAAGTCAAAGTTAAGTTCAGTGTATTGTCAGATGCATCAGTGTATTGAAATGCAGATTTGCACGCAGGCTCCAATACAAAGACGTTAAAGGAATCGCCAAAAACCTAAACACAGAACAGCAGCAGCAACAACAAGTTAAATCACACACAACTTCAAAAACGCATTGTGCCTTTATGCTCCTGTGAGGCTTACCAGAGGGAAGGAGGGAGACGAATGAGAAACCAGGGTGATTGTTGTCCTTAGCGATTCTTCCCAGCCTTCCTGAGACAGCCAGTTGTAGAAATGTCCACAGCAGAGGGGAGCTGTACTCCAGTGATGGACTGGGCTGACCTGACCACCCCCTGTGATCAGACAACGAGCTGCTGCTAAAAATGCGAAAACATTCGCATCGGGGGCAGCTGTTTCACCGGCGCGGTGCAGCTCTCGGCTGTCCCCGGCTGCCGTCTCCCCCTCCTGCAGCAGCGTGGTGGGGCTGGTTAATATCCACGAACGCCGGAGCGGTTTCTGAGGAGTTTTAGGGTTCGGATGGGTCAGCCGAGCCCCGCCGCCCAGTGCAGCCCTCAGGCTGGGTGGGGGCAGCCCCACAGCGCCAGAGAGCCGTCCGCCATCCTGGGCTTCGGTTTTCCCAACGTCTCCGAGTGTGCGTCCGCGTCAGGCCCTGCGTGGCGGTCCCAGGGGTCGATGCGCTCTGCTGTGGCCGGTGCTGGAGAGCCCAGAGAGGTCACTCAGTCAGAACAAGGGGGGCGTCCCGGCTCCCTAGCTGGGCTGTTGGCGCTGAAAAGAGCTCTGCGTGCACAGGCAGGAGGTGTGGGCTCCCCGTTGGAGGAGTGTCTCTCCCCCTCTCGGGTGCTGGTGTGAACAGAGTCACCAGGGGGAGCGCCGGGCTCTCTGCAGGAATCGATCGCTGCTCCTGCTGGAGAGTCATTCACAAGCAGAGTGCGTTTCTGAAGAGCTGTTGTACGGTTATTTTTGTCATTTCTTCCTGAAGCGCGGGGCGCTTTGATCGTGTGTATTTTGAAAGCGAATTGGCTCACCCGCCAGTGTCCGGGGGCGGCTCTTCGGGACCCGAAGGCATCACGACGGGGATGAGAGTGGCTCTGGTGTTCCGCCGGACTCGGGGTCCGGCTGGCAGGGCGCCGCGAGCTGGCGTGTCGGCAGTGTTTGATTCGTTCCCCCGGCTGGCGGCTGCTGTCCGCGGTGGTTGAGCTGTTTCCGGTGCCTCTGGAATGGTAGTGGCCTGGCAGGGCGAGCGCTTCTGCTTCTCCGCTGCCCCTGCCCGGGCTGCGCGGGCTGTCGAGAGGGCGCTTCGGGTTGGCTTGCCTCCAGCTGTGGCTGGAAATCTGAGAGAGGCCGTTTAAAATCCAACGGCAAAATCAAACGGTAAAATAGCAAACATCCTGCCGTCGGCCGAGTTTGAGGAGACGGGTCAAGCAGAGCTCTTCTCGCCAGGCTTGAGGCCAGGAGGCACATGAGCACGCGCACACACACACACACACGCTCGCCTGGCGCGTGTGGCTGCGTCCTGCGGGGCCTGGCTCCCACACACCCCGCTGCGGGTGGGCGTGGTCCTCGCTCCGGCAGGTGTTCAGTGCTGGGGTCGGGGGGGAGCTGGGGGCTGCTGGGTGCGATAGAGTCGTTGACTCTGTGTGGTCATTCGTTGGTTAATGAGCTGGATCACTCTTGACTGCTGACGTCTCCCAGGGGCACACAGGGGGGGAGCGCGTCCCCTTGAGTCGCCCCTCGGACAGCAGGGCTCCGGGGCTCCCAGTGTGGTCTGTGTGCTGGACACCCAGTGCTGCTGGGTTATTGTCTGTGGGCTGCCCGGTCCACTGCAGGGCTGGACATGCCTCTCCTCAGGCTTCCCCGTTTCTCTTTCTTTTGTGTTAAGACTTCTTCTGTTGTGTGTGCAGTGACTTGTTTTAGTTTTAGTCACGGTATATTTGGCACATTGCCCCGAAGGAGGGATTGGACTCCGTGTTCCACAGCAGTTTGATCCGCTTCTGGTTTTACCTGAGCCGGTTTGTGAGCGGGCGGACTGAGGCTGCGACGCCAGGCCCTTAAGATGATGTCGATCTTCTCGCGTCCGTCTGCGCAGAACCGGCGCCCTCCAGCGGCCAGCCGGTCTCCAGCTCCGGCTGGCCTGACGCGTCCCCTGCTGTCTGTGTCCCCAGGCCAGGTGAAGAGGTCTTCCCCCAAGAAGCCCCGGAGCCGGAATATCTTCAGCGCTCTCTTCTGCTGCCTCAGAGCCCAGGATGTGCCGCCACTGCCCCAGGCCCAGGGTACCCTGCCGCAGGCGGAGGAGAACGGGCCGGTTGCCAAGGTAACGGTCGCTCTGGTGACCGCCATGTTGGCGAGGAGGATGCCGGGTGCGTTTTTGAGCGGAAGAGCGTTACTTGATTGACCAGTTTTCCTTGGATGAATCTGAAACACGATCAGCCTTGAGATCAGTTGTCCTTTGTATTTCTGTATGCCTTGTAGTTCCTTTTCAAGTAGGGCAGTTCAGCCAAGCGGGAGGTGTAGGTCAGGACCCCCGAGCTGCCCCCTCCCCTGAAGAGGGGGGCTGACAGATCAGAGCAGTGTCCTTGTGCGAGGCTTGATCTCTGGCTGGGCAGCCCCAGGGCTTGTTAGCAAGAGGCTCCCCAGCTCTGCCCCGGACGTCCTGTGTGTTACTGAGCCGCCTTGTGTCCCATCCCGTGAAGGAGACACCGGACAGGACCCCCCAGCCCGCCCCCGTCGCTGGGGGCCCTGCTCTTGTTTCGTGAGCGGAGCCTCAGGGGCGGGTGTCGCTGGGGCCCGAATCCACACCAGCCGCTACAGTGGGCAGAGTTTGTGGGGACGGTATTGACGCCCCTCAGTCTAAAAGCACAGCGGCTTCTCACTGGTCTTGACCGTCCTGGAGAGCTGAGAGGGCTGGACCCTGAGCTGACCTTTGGCAGAGCTGTGACCGGAGGGACAGAACTTACATGACCACTCGAACCCGAATCTGCTAGTGTCCCAGAAGAAAAGAAAAACGTTGCACCTTATTCAATTACAAAAAACAAGAGAAACGTTGCCCTCTATTGCACATGTAGAACAGCTGACAACATGTAACACTTCCCACGCAATAAACACACATGCCAGAGGTGTACCAGGTCTTGCTGGAAGTGTAGGATAGGCCAGTCCAGGACACTCTGGGATTTCTCCGGCTGGGAACAGATCCAGTCCCGCCTGGATCCCAGAGCTTCTCCCTCCCCTCTCCGGCAGATTCCCGGGCCCTGCCTGCTGCCCGAGGTGACCCCTCAGGACCAGGGCAAGATGTGTGTGGTGATCGACCTGGACGAGACGCTGGTGCACAGCTCCTTCAAGGTGAGGCCGCGGCACCTCGGGGCCCCTCCCGTGTTTGCGGGTGGGGGGCGGACAGGTCAGAGGTCAGAGGTGAAAGGGCAGTAGGGTGACTGTGCAGTGTCAGGATCGCAAACACAGGGTGAGGGAATGGGTTATAAAAGCTTCCTTGAAACGGACTCATACCATTAAAATGAGTGAAGTGTCGCACCCTTGTGAAACTGATATTCATGGTCTTGGCTCTGCGGGGAGGTACAGTAGGGTTTTTCATCATGTAGAAGTTTTCAGTTATTCACCCTGTGCTTTGGGCATCATGGGCAAGGACAGTGAGCAATGCGCAGCTGGCAGAGAGACTGGTATGAGGACAAGAGAACTGTTACACACGAGCGCAGCCCTTGGGCCCCTCTGAGCCGCCTGTCTGCCTTAGCCAGTTGATCTCATCTGGCCTCTCTCCTGAGAGAATCCAGCTTTTCAGCGTCAATATCGCCGGGTAGCTAGTTCCACACTCCCACAACACTTTGTGTCAGCAAATTCTTGGATTTTAATAAACTTCCACATAGGTTCCCCTTGTGTCCTCCATTTTGACATAGTCAAGGGACTGAGACCGTGGGGTGTCAGGGGGTGTCACATACCGGTCGAGGGACTGAGACCGTGGGGTGTCGGGGGGTGTCACCTACCGGTCGAGGGACTGAGACCGTGGGGTGTC